CTAGAAACATATACAAAAAATTCATACGTGTCTTCTACATGTGTTAGCATAAAGTGTCTCTTTTTTCTCAAATCTCCGGACACAGACGCTCATCGCTATGGACACACACGCGCATGAGTGAACAACTATTATTTCCTTAGAAAAGAAATCATTAGCTCTATTTTTCAGCACTACTTCAGCAATACTTTTCAGCGAGGGAACAATATTTTTCTCTCACAACAAATCAGCATCTGCATTAGCAACAGCTAAAATTCAACGAAACGAATAGGATTATTTCCTTAGTAATCATATACCCTAGCTAAAATTTGAAAGTCCCTCTCAAACAAAGTGGTTCAGTTTAGTTACAATCTATATATCTAATATTAAAGAGCCAAAATTTCTTCTCATTTTTTGATGGGTATGGCCTCCCCTAACTAATTCTGTGCATGTGAAAACTGTCCCTATTCATCTATCTATAACCCTCTCATTTAATATGACACATATGCCGGGCTAAGAATCCTAATCATATTCTAATTCAAATAGATCTCTCCGAATAGGAATCCTAATCCAAATCTATATTTACAATATTATATAGAGCCAAAAAAAATAAAATTCGACAACATAGAGCCAAAATTTGTGCAGTAAAATGTTTATCTGGCCATCCGCTTCTCCGAATCGTTTTTCCGTCAGGTTTCAAAGTCTTTTCTCCTTTTTTCCCTGTCCACGTCCGCTTTTTTTTCTATCGGACTTTCACCTTCGGTGACTTTCTTTTTCTTTATCACTTTCTATTCTTTTTCTTCCATTTTCCCTTGCAAACATAAAAATGTCGGTCCTTTCTCTTTTTTTCTCCCGCGTCCATTTTTTCCATCGTACTTTTTTCTTTTATATATAAATGGAAACGGAAATGTAGTATCTTCCATTTTTCTTGTATATAAACATAAAAATTAATTAATCAATACAGTATTATGCATTTTTAAACATTGATCCTTCTCTAATAAATAAATATTTGCACCACTATGAATAAAACTTATTAGGGAGAACAGTATTCTTGCCACCGTCTAGCAATCTAATTATGATTTTATCCTCTTTTTTCAATTTTATGATTTTTCCCTTGCGATTTTGAAACAAAATCTTTGTTTGCCCCTGGCGTGGATGTCCATCAATTAAGGGTGAAATAAACGATTTAAAAAAAAGCAAAACCTATTGAAAGGTAGGGGAAACCGAAGTTGTCCTTTATCCTTATCTCTTTTCCCCTCACCCCACCCGCGTTAGAAATTCAAAACCCGAGTCAGGCTTGTGGGGGGTCCAATGGCGGCAGGGCGCGGGCAAGGCAGCTAGTGAGGCGATGTGGAAGCCAGGTGGTGTGCAGGCAAGTGGGCCATGCGGCGTGGCCGAGAATTGAGGCGAGCAGCGGACGACCACGGGAAGCTGGTGTTCGTCCTGGAGGGGCAGGCGTGGTTCGAGTTGGAGGACCTACTCTGCGCGTCGTCGTCGTGCTGGGCAGCGGCAACTTTGGGGCGCCAGGTGACCCTACTAGACGGGTTGTTCCTGGTGGTGAAGGGGTTCAAGGAAATGAATGGCATTGGACAGGAGGACTTCTCAAAGCACATGCGCATACTGTCAGGAGAGGGACTCATCCACCCAAACTTGCTCCCCGTAACCACCTACCTCTTCAAGGAGGAGAAGCTCCTCGTCGTGGACTACATAGTGAACAACAGCTTGGTTCACGCTCGATATCTAACTCTACCAATACATAGATATTATGAAAATTAAAGCCGTGATATATTTACATATCAATATTTCTATGCCTTACAATTAAAAAAAATCTATTAAGGTTGTATTTCAATTTGATACAGACTTAATAGGACATTGTCATGTTATTGTCAATATTAACTTATATTACAAATGCCATAATCATTATAAATAAGTCAAGGCTTTTAAATTTATATAAAGAATAAAAAATAAATATATACGAAACATTCCTGTCCTTATTTCCTATTAGGGCTTGATAGGTTTTTTCTCCCGCGTCCATTTTTTCCATCGTACTTTTTTCTTTTATATATAAATGGAAACGGAAATGTAGTATCTTCCATTTTTCTTGTATATAAACATAAAAATTAATTAATCAATACAGTATTATGCATTTTTAAACATTGATCCTTCTCTAATAAATAAATATTTGCACCACTATGAATAAAACTTATTAGGGAGAACAGTATTCTTGCCACCGTCTAGCAATCTAATTATGATTTTATCCTCTTTTTTCAATTTTATGATTTTTCCCTTGCGATTTTGAAACAAAATCTTTGTTTGCCCCTGGCGTGGATGTCCATCAATTAAGGGTGAAATAAACGATTTAAAAAAAAGCAAAACCTATTGAAAGGTAGGGGAAACCGAAGTTGTCCTTTATCCTTATCTCTTTTCCCCTCACCCCACATATTTGCTAGTCTTATATTATTTTACTAGAGAAGAATCCATATCCACTATTTGTCAAAGAACATCTTTATTATTGAAAAAATAGCTATTCAGACCCATTTGGAACTTGGGAAATATGATACAATATATAGAATAAGAAAACAAAGTAAAACGTCGCAATTGAATAGCAAACCTCATGGACTTACACAAGCACAGAAAGTTGATTACCGCCAGGTCTAAGGCTTTGGTAGAGCTCCCACTCTACGAAATCTGTGGATTTCTTAGAGTTAGTCACCTATAGCTCTAGGAAATCCTGGATCTAGAGATCCACACATGTTAAGTGCATTTATATGACTCATTTTGTTTATATTTTAGATTAAATAAAAATATTTAAATCTCTTTAATTTAGTCTGCAAACTATACATCGAGCCTAGATCTTTTGGAGCCAGAGCTATGCCAAACGGACCCTAAAACCCCTAACACCGCCCGTTTTTCTCTTTCATAGAGAAATGATAATAAACTCCATCACAGTCAGTTTTAGATTGGCAGTAAAAATCACCGCTGGATCCTTATACAAAACGACTGTTATAATTAGAAAAAAAATAAAAAAATCTAGCTATCAGCAAGCTAAGCCTGCTTCTAGCCCACCGCACCTCCACCATCATCATGCATTCTACTCTGTATCAACCGCTGCATACGCTGTCACACGTTGAATCTACATCGCCGGCTTCTTACCGCAACTCATCGCCATCTCCTCGTGCATTCTGTCACTGCCATCGCTAGATCTGAGAAGGAGAATGGAGAGGGCGAGGGAGATTGAGAGGCAAGAGAGAGCAGAGGAGCTCAGGGAGAGAGAGTGAGAGAGAGAGAGAGCACTTTGTGGTAGGGAGATACCGAGATAGGATCGAGGCATGGGAGTAGGCTCTTTCGCGCCCTCCGCGCGGCAGCCAAGCCTAGGGCGCCCCGTGGGTGCAAGGACCCGCTTGTAATCCACTGTAAAGAAACACAATATATGCAGATTGATTCGGTAGCAGTGTGGCGCACGTGGGTCTGAGCCTGCCTTTATTTTTCACTATCAGTTGCTATATATGCCAAACCCGAAACTTTCACCGCCGGTTTTATTATGAACCAGCAGTGATATGTTAACCATGGTTCCTATTAAAACCGGTTGGTGAAAACTATTTCTATAGTGGTGAAATATATCGAAAAAAACACCAGAAAATTGCCAAATGTTGTTTGGATAGACCACACGAAAATCATAAGGATTTTTTGTGTTAACTAGCAGACTCAACAAAGAGACGACTTTACACACTGGGAGGAGAGAGAAATTAAGAGGTCAATTTGCATTTGGGATATACTGAAGGAACAATTTTGCCGTGATGTTAGACCTCAAATTTGTCCCCTCCAAAATGTCCAAGATAGGAGTGTCTGGTACCAACCATTTTGAAAGCAAACTGGTGATCGAAACAACATGCATAGCAGATTTATTTTGTATCGAAGTGCTACAAGGATTCCACACCACCCATATGCTTTGAGAGGTACCCCTAGGACCACCTATCTATAATGCATGAGTTTTACATGAAAGTAGTATAGCTCAAATTTAGTGGATATTAGAGGAGGGATGGAGATGGTGAGTATGCCAAACAGGGCCGGGGCTTACCGGCCTGTTGGACCAGCTACTCGCCTACTCCACACAAAGCAAACAAGCTAGGATTATCGAATTAAGCGTTGATGTCGTAGGTAGCTAGCTAGCATAGCCGGCAGCCCGGCACGGCGAGCCTGCCCGTCGTCGACAGTTTCTGGACGGATGAATATGTATGCCATCAGATCGTTTTCTTCGCGTTTTGGCTCTATCCAGCGTCGATCGGGCTAGCCAATTACTGCTTACAGCCAAAGTGTACTGCTGGGATGGACGTCGACCGGGTGACAGGTCCGGCGAAGGCAGCACGCCTGGATCACTATCAACCACACTGTAACGCAGGTTAGTGTTGCCAACCTGACGTTGCGCTTCCGCACACCGTCCAGTTTATCGTGCCCCCGTGGACCACTGAAACACGTCTGGACTCTGGAGAGAACACAAAGAATATGCCGTGATTTAGGAAGTGATTGAGTTGAATATGCGGTAAAATACATTGATGTGTTGATGTGTCCTGATAGAACACAAAGAATACATCGATGTGTTGAGGTAAACATTCAGAATTATTTCTTAAATGAATGCAAATGACACGCTGCTGTACCAAAGTCCCAAACATCATTCATTTCCATACATATATAGTACAGTAGGGGACTAGGGAGGATGGTAAACAGCGACTGATAAAAATTTAAAGAAACACTCTTTTCTTAGTACAACCTCGTCTAGAACGCAAGAAGTTTTCCAGGTTGAGCTTATGACTGCATAAACTAACGTGAGCTGGCTTCGGGGTGTGAAGAATCGTGTCAAATTTTGGATGAAACTCCAGCTCACAAAAAAACACTACAGTAGTAATTAATAGATCGGAGAAACACACCAGCATATAGCTAGTTATTAGACACGGCCACACGGGCATATACATATGACGACCAGTTTGCAGTTGCATCAGGCAGTAGTAGCAGAAGTACGTTTGCGGTTACATGATGGCGCAGGTCGGCGGGTTGTCCTCGCAGACAAGCATCGGGTACGGCAGAGCCGAGCAGGGCGGCGGGCAGGGCGGCGGGCATGGCTGCGGGCAGGGCGGCGGGCATGGAGGCGGGCAGGGCGGCGGGCAGGGCGGCGGGCATGGCTGCGGGCAGGGCGGCGGGCATGGAGGCGGGCAGGGCGGCGGGCAGGGCGGCGGGCATGGCTGCGGGCAGGGCGGCGGGCAGGGCGGCGGGCAGGGCGACGGCATGCACGGCTGGCACTGGTAGCCGCCGCCGCCACCGCAGCAACACGACGACGACCCCGCCGGGCAGGTCGACGGCATGCACGGCTGGCAGCTGGGCGGAGGCATGTACGGCTGGCAGCTGCCGCAGTAACACGACGACGACCACGCCGGGCACTGGCACGCCGGTGGTTTCGGTGGCGGTGGCTTGGATTGGTGGCAACCACAGTTCGGCGTGGGGCAGCTGCACGGCCACGCGCCGGGGCCGGGCTGTGGGCACGGATAAGGGCACGAGTATACCAGCTTGCAATTGGGCTTGGGCTTGGGCTCGGGCTCCTTTTCTTTGACGATCTCGATGTTCTTGATGATCCTACAGGCCTTGGCCCAGAGGATGCAGCTGAGCTTGTTGGCGTCGAAGGGCCCGGAAACGGTCACCTTGTCCTTCTCGTACTCCACCTTCTCGATCACGAACTCGCATCGCTCTGCGTACACACATTTAATTTGCTTGGCTGATGAGTGAGTGAACCACGACTACTACTTTTTTTTTTGAGCTGCCTACCCATTCCATAATCTAAGATGTTTTGATTTTGTTATTAGTGAAACTTCTTCAAATTGACCAAGTATTGTATATATGTACAAAAAGGTTAACATCTATAAATTAGTTTTACTAAATGCACAATTTAGTATATTTGTATGACACATTTGTCTTGTGTTAAAAACATCTCTGAGTTTTTTCTATAAATTCAGTTAAAGTTGAAGATGATTGACTTAGGTAAATCTATAAAACATGCATATTACATTTTCGAACAATAAAAGGAAATATTTATATATATGCACCTTGGATGCAGCACAGGACCTTCTGGATCTTGGTGCTGCAGCGGCCGCACTCCAGGTCCACCGTGATCTTCAACTTGCCCATCTCTGCACCACATAAACTTGCATGCGTGGACTCAGCTTAGTTAGTAGGCGGAAGGGCTAGAAAGAAATGTGCCTTTTAATTTGTTTTCCCTGTTGCAGTTTTGCAGAGATCGAACCAATTCACTAGCTAATAAATACTACAAATTCTTTCTTCTTTACAGGCTACGAAAGTTCACCTTAATTTGCAAGCGATGACAATTCTTATGAGCAAATGAAGGGTGCTTGTGTTGATGAGCAGCTATATATTTGGGAGGAGCGAGACTTGCTACAAGCATGTGACGTACGTTGTCATCTTATCAATCAGATGAGAGACCAACATACATATATATAATGTCTATACATAGATGGTGGCACTGTATGTACATATATATAGATATAGCAGAGGTTGCCTGCGAACGAGCGCAGCAGCATCTGGTGTAGGGATCACGTTCACGCCTGCAGCGACGGCGAATTGAAACGCGTGCATGTCTCGATCGATTCTGGAGGGTTAGGATTTCATGCATGCATCGGGTTCAACGTCTCCCTCGTACGTCCTCTTCTGTGTCAAGAAAATTTGGTGAAGGCGGAGACAGATGCTGCATGCCTGCATTGCATTGGGCTCGCTGGTATGAGTGCGAAATAAATGAGTATATTAATAGAGTACGAGGTTGGTAGGTTACAACGACGAATTTGAGTTTGTGTGTGTTCTATAGTCGTCCAGGCGGGTTGAGTTGTTGGATTAGTTGTTGCTAAGGTTGACGACGACCTGCTGTGCAGTAGGCTGCTACATACAGTACCTACGTCCTAATAACCCTACGTCAACTTCAGCTTGCTACCACAGCTAGCCACCGGTAATCATTGAACACCGCCTAATTAAATCAGTTGCTCGGTGGTCAGCAGGATGGTTCCAACGGATGTAACGCTGACTGATTGCCAACTAATAACCCAATTGCTAATGATTGATTACCAACTAAATAATTGCTATTTTCATTACTTCTACTAAACACTACCACAGATCAGGACAATACTGCCGGTTCAAAACACCCCATCACTGTCGGATTTTGAACCGGCACAACCAAACTGACAGTGATGAGGGTTAGCTATCACTGTCGGTTCCTATAAACCGGCAGTGTTATGTAACTTCACTGCCAGTCCTTTACACAACCCGACAGAGTTCAGTTCCAACAACACTGTCGGTTCATGAGACTACCGACAGTGTAACCTAGAACATCACTATCGGTTTGTGTCTTTAGCCGACAGTGTTGTGGTAACCACAGCTACATCCTAATAACCCTACGTCAACTTCAGCTTGCTACCACAGCTAGCCACCGGTAATCATTGAACGCCGCCTAATTAAATCAGTTGCTCGGTGGTTAGCAGGATGGTTCCAACGGATGTAACGCTGACTGATTGCCAACTAATAACCTAATTGCTAATGATTGATTACCAACTAAATAATTGCTATTTTCATTACTTCTACTAAACACTACCCTGGATCAGGACAATACTGCCGGTTCAAAACACCCCATCACTGCCGGATTTTAAACCGGCACAACCAAACTGACAGTGATGAGGGTTAGCTATCGCTGTCGGTTCCTATAAACCGGCAGTGTTATGCAACTTCACTGTCGGTCCTTTACACAACCCGGCAGAGTTCAGTTCCAACAACACTGCTGGTTCATGAGACCACCCGACAGTGTAACCTAGAACATCACTGTCGGTTTGTGTCTTTAGTCGACAGTGTTGTGGTACCCACAGCCCTACGTCAACTTCAGCTTGCTACCACAGCTAGCCACAGGTAAACATTGAACACCGCCTAATTAAATCAGTTGCTCGGTGGTCAGTAGGATGGTTCCAACTGTTGACACGGAATTTCGTCCCGTGCTGAGGACACACGAGCAAGCCAGAAGGGTCCGCTCGATGGAGCTGGAGATCCGCCCAGCTTCAGCGCAGGGATGGTCGATCCTGCGCACTCATCCCGAGACGTGCCAGTCAATTTGACCCTGTTATTGACAAGGAGAGAAAGTTTATCAATAACTAAGGGCGGAACATGCCGGTGTTGCCAGACAGCCCCGAATGTGCGGCTCTGAGAGCTGATATGAAAGGAGATCGACTAAATAGTCGATTCCAGCATATTCATAAGAATAAATCGGTTAAAGTTCATGGGGTTGTATAAGAAAAATCGATTATCGTTTAGGATGAATATCATTCTTTAAACAAATATTGGTCAATGGCAATAAGATATTAACAATAATTAGTTCATGCTAAGCCAATGACTGCAAGTAACCAAACTTCTTTATGAAAGAAACAGTTTATCAGCATTCAACCATTTAATAGAAATAAATCTAATGAACATATTAGATCTCATCTATCGCTATGACCAGTGGGGCATGAGGCAGAATCATGTAGGCCGTAGAAACAACAATAGACTCGACGACCCTAACTTATTACTAATATCAGTGGGGCATGAGGAAGAATCATGCAGACCGTAATACAATAATAAGATCATGGGGCTAACACATCTTTCAACCTTTTGCTACTTCAACGATCTCGTGATGCGAACTGTTCGTGAAAGCACTCGATATCGGCTAAAACAGCCGATTTAGGTATAGAGCACAGTTAAGGTCATGTCCTCTCAGGAACAATCTACCAAATAACGATCTCCACTCTACGGTGCTAACAGTGGGGTGTGAGGCAAAATCACACAGGCCGTGATAACGGGGCATGGAACAGTTTTCGCTAGCCAATAGATCTACTCAAGATCAAACATGCCTTAACCACACGCTATGCACGATCAAGATTGATGTAAAACAGTCGATAAAACATAACTCATCATTTAAAGTGTAGATTAGATCCGTTTAAATTAACAAAGGATGGGTTAAGAAAGATATAAGACCAATCCAGATCAATCTCAATCGGGCGAAGTGATATTGCTGTAATTAAATAAATAATAGAAGCAATAGGCAATATCGGTAACATAATGAATCTATCCAAAGGAACGCCACCCTTAGATAGAGCTGATAACTTGACCTTAATCTAGTTCGAGCAGTGGAGGTCGACTGGATCGATGCAGCCGTACTTGAACTAGACAAGAGTCGATAACTAACTCATATCAGAGTCGCAGTGGAGGTCGACCGGATCGATGCAGCCGTACGAACAGAGATATAAGCCATGACAATACTTACAGACAAGCAGTGGAGGTCGACCGGATCGATGCAGCCGTACTTGCTGAAGAACTCGACGAGATCTACTCTACTCCTACTCCTAAGGAGTGGCTAGAGCTGAAAAATGTAAATAACTTGTATTGGATTAATTGTGTGTCTTTTCCAATAGCTGGGTTTTGATATTTATACTCGGGACCTATGCATGACTCCTATCTAAGCACGACTCATCACAATCTTTGGCCCTATGAGAAATATTCCTAATTTAAGATAACTTGGACTCTAATCTTTTCTTTCTTGTAGAGTCCAACATGCCTTGTCCTAGCGCCGATCGTAGCCTTTGTCGTCATCTGCCATCGCTATCTAAAGAAAGCCGATTCTGGTGTTGCATTTGAATCAGCTGAATCCGATCTGCACGCAATTGATTTCTTGATGACATGATCTTGGGAGCTTTCGAGTCCCTATGACTCTCCTTCCAAATTTTGGTGTAAACACATGTCCCCCAATTTTGGGATAAAAGTAATTTTATTCCAAAATTATCACATCTGTATCCCCGATAGGTTCGCAATCACGGGTAGAGAATCTTGATCTGGGGTCTACTGTATGTCATCGTCTATGTCAACTCGTGAGCCCATGCTCTAAAACTTTTCACGAGAGTATCATTGCTTCATGGGCATTTGGATTCATCTTTCCAGGCCAGCTATTAAATGTCCATCTGACCCTGGCGAGAGAAACTCAACAATCCAGCTATGTTTCTCTTCTATCTCCCCCCTCGAGTGCTTCTGACTTCGTTGGACCCTCCATAGTCTATCCTTTTGCTATGAAGATCTCGAGCGGTTAGAAGAATTCTTGTGCATAGGGTGATTGTGTCGTTCATTCTAGCGCCTCATTGAGCAAGAAGACCAGCTATTGCGGTTAGAAGAATTCTTGTGATATCACCTGAGTCTTCTCTCCGTGCTCGAAAAGCTGTTCTAGTGTTTGCGAGGGCTAAAATGTGTAGACACCTTCCCCTTGTTCGCTCCTTCAAACACCCACCGGGAAAGCCACAGGCTTCTTTCCCATAGTTTCTCAATTTACCGAGAAATCGGCTGAGCATATGTTAGGCGGGCGACCTTTCCTCTTCCCTGGCATAATTTTATCAACGGGCCAATGTTGATTCGGTTCACGATGTCCTTCGGCCTTGTGGGGACCCAGACTCCCTTCAATCCAAAGAAGCCTTGATGGGTTGATCTCTGGTCAATGTAAATTCTTCGTATCCATCCCATAATATTTTGTAATTTAGGGAAGCAATAAGTTCGAATCTGTTATCTCCTCGTTATTCGTCCCCTGAATTCCCGAAGTGTCGATCCGCTTCCGTCTCTGATTCCAATTTCACACCCCCGGTGAAGTCTATCTTCTTGCCTTCCTAGGCTATATATACGGGCCATGGCCGTGGATCTAACAACAACCCGCTTTGTCTCAAACCTTCTGCATCCTTAGTATAGTTCCTGCTTTTTCCATAGGTTTGAGATCATGGAGAATAGCAAGAGGTCTGCTAAGGAGGCCCTCAACATATTTGCATCATCACGCCAGCGCCTTCATTGCCAAGAGGGTGCAACCTGGGCTTCTCCCATTGTTCTAGAGAGAGGGCCGACTCTACCCAGCCTTCGAGGTCATCTTTGGCACCAATTCGCTGCCAGCTCCCTCATTACTCGAGGAGGCAGATCGACAATGACGATCTACTGGCCTCTATCGATCGGACTGACCAACATCTGGCCAACTACCTCTCCCTTGCAGAATCTACTTTGGCCATGATTGAAGGCCGATCACCCCCCGAGGTCAGCCTGGTAGGAGAAAGGTTGGCCAAGGTTGAAGCCAGAAT